ACGCACTAGCCTTCATTCAAGGTGGTCATGTGGCCTAATTGACATGAACATTGCAGCATACTGCAGGAGCCGGCGATCATTACTGTCCCCATTCTCCGTCAGAGGAGTCACTGGACCCCTAGTCCTCATCCTGCGACGTCGCCAGGCAAGTTGTATGTTCACTGCTGCCCATGTTCGCCAATTGGAAGAATAGTATCTCGCTGTCCGCTTAAGCCTCTCGTTGGCAAATTTGTACCTGAAGTGGTCAGTGATGTATTTGAGGTGGCTGGCGTCAAGACCAAATGCTTCTATAGATTCTGTACAGACAAATGTTGCTGAAGAGGCTGGAAGGCGGTCTATGAATGGGCGGCGGAGGCACCAGGAGAGTAGCTCATCGCCCAAAAAGCCTCCTGGTTCAAGGACACTTGTGGCTACCATGCCCTTGCTTAGACATTGGCTACGCTTCACACGTCCGTGAACAATAAACACCATTCTTTGCACTGGATCTCCTTCTCTAATTATCTATTTGAACAGTAACATCAAGAAAGCCAGAAGGGAACATTAAGGCACCATCGTAGTTTGTACACTACTTTGTAACAGGGTAGAAACTAGAAAAATAACTGAACCTTTTCATCTTTGGAGAAGATGAGTTGCTTAACCCGGTCACAGATGTTGTCAAGGATAAGATCATCCAGGTTGTGGAACAGGGGGACCTGAGGTAAAGGAAATTTCAGTTGAATTAGATGTTTGATTCAGGTATGGCTCTAGAATCATGTTTCCCACCTGTATGTTTGTACCTTTTTGATGAGGTCTAGGCAAAGGTAACGTTTAATGTCCCTCCTGAGCCCTTCAGGCAGATCTTGGATTAATTCCATTTCGTCTTCCCCTCCCATTGTTGCCCATTTCTGTCGTTCAAATTGTCGAACTCTATGCCTCAGACGGGATGGTAACTGCCTGCGCTTCATCCACCATTCCATGTCCCGGCATCTCAGCTGCATTTTCCTCTTCTTTGCCATGACTGTATGCAGGAAAACCTTAATCACAACAAATAAGCAATTGTCATTACACTTGAAATAGAACAATCTGACCATTCAACAATTCCGAAGTAAGTAGTTATGTGAATCAAAAACTCACCTGGATGTTCCCAATTAACAATGTGAAGAGCAATAATCCACTAAGAACAATGCATATACTGAATATCACTTCCTGCCAGTGACTTGTCGGTTCAAGTTCATTTCCAAAAGTGCTGTAAAGAAGTTTTGTGGTTCAATCAGTTCTTGCCTTCTCAGTCATTTCCTCAACATCACAACATTGCTAAGTCTAACAAAAACTCAGATATCCCAACAGTTTTTTTCTAAAAGTGGGATCCTGACTTAAAATCTTATCATTTAAATCTACAAAATGGGTGGCAACAGTACTGGGGATAAAAGAGGACTATCTCCTCTTTAATCTCATTTAACATAGCAAAGGAGAAAAGGAGGACTTGAACAGGTGAAAATTCAACTATAGCCCTTTGATTTAGGAGGCCACAAGACACAAATTCAATACAAGGTTTGAACAGGCTCTGGACAAAATGACTAGGATCCTGCTGTTTACCAAATGCCATGCTTGAGCAAAGCTATTAAGAGCAAAGCTACAGTTCCGTGAAAGTGACAGATGTGAGATGACCTAAAAAGAGGCTTATAACACACCATAATACAAACTCATAATTTGGTACTCTGTCATTTACCTGAGGGTCATTAAGCCCCAGAAGATGGGATAAAGGATCTTTACCGCAACAGAGTTGCTGGAAACAACAGGGAGAGCCCACTGATAAATCCCATAATTGTACGGTCCATTATCCTCCAAGCACAGTGGTTTTCTAACTGTTACTGTTGAGTTACCACCAGAGGGATTTCCCATCGTTCCTGCCTGTAAGAGTAACTGGTAACACCCCTCCTTGGAGCAGGACAAAGAGAGATTGTATTGGCCTTTCCTCTCACACTGTTTCTGGAGGCAGTTGACAACACGCTGTATTGCAAGCACATACCAGCACCCTCCTGCAACCTGAAATGAAAAAATAATATTTCAAACATCATTATATATGTTGTTTAAAGTTCATAGGAAATCCAGCTTGACAAACTGCAATGGCTTACATGAGAAGCAATGAAATAGGCAATGAGATTAAGGCCAAAACCCCACCAAATGGTACCAAAGATGTAACCAGTGACCTTTTGCATTGTTCTCATCATGCAAATGCTGTGGTATACTTTTGGGAGGAACTGAAACAGAAAGATAAATAGCATTATAGTCATTATGAGCTTGATTTGTTCTTCCCTGATCAATTTTGGTACTACCAGCCAGAACACAGCCTGCAAAAAGAACACCAGTAGAAGGAATGTACATCAAGAACTTGAAACATGAAGGAATTAATGGCTCTAATTCTGTTTTAGCCAACAATCTAATAATGCTGAAACAAAAGGTATTAAATCAGAAATAGTCATGCTAAAAACCAAGCCATAAAATTGGCTACAATTCACTATGGCATGACCTTGGGAAACATAGTTCACAACTGCTTCAATTTTAGGAAAATGTGACAATGCCTAAAATTTTTTATTTGATTTGCAATAATTTACATACTCATGTGATTAGGATTTCAGGTTGGGATCTCCCAGTCACAGGTCTTTAGCCTATTCCTTATCACTGGGCCAACAACACATTGGCAACAACATTTTGAATTTTATTCTAGAAATTAGGGCTGCTTAAGAAAATTTGAAGAAAATAATTGGACAGAAAACTGAAAACCTTATGGTGCAACACACTCGAAGGACTATTTGCTATCACTTTGGAAATAATGCTTGTCTCACTGGAAAAAGCTTCTTGAATAAAGTCATTATGAGAAACCAGACTGCAATAAAAGCAGAAAGGGCAAAAAAAATAGACATAATACCAAATGGTGGGGTTTGTGGCACCTCACCCAATAATACTTCACTTTTAGACCATGCAAGTGCCCTCAAATCAAAATTTTAAACGCAGGCACCTTTTAAAAAGAGCCCTAAAATTAGTAAAATCTACAATACTTTTATATAACATGCCGTGACAAAAAAAACAAGTTGATGCATGCTGATTAACGCATGAACCAAATAAAAAGACTCAATCATAGACATTCTAAGTCTATCATTTTTGCAATCCAAGCCTTTTTGTTTCTATAGTTCATTTATGCAAATGAAAAATTCTTGAGTACTTCAAATCATGACATTAGTGCATTATTTCTCATAATGTGACCACTAATAAAACATAAAATCTTTCATCAAACTTCCAATAATATGCTGAAGAACACAAATAATTGATTTTTTATGGCACCTAATAATTGATGGAGTAATTGCAATTTAAAAAGGGGGGAAAAAGGGAGAAGAGGAAGGTGAGAACCTGAGGAACTGGAAGAATGACGAAGGCGTCGAACCAGAAGCCTTTGAGGGAGCGGACGTAATGGGAGGCGATGGCACGTGCGTCCCACACGAGTTTGCCGCACCCAACAACGAGTGACTCCCTCGACACGTACGCCAGCCTGAACTGAAGCCACAGATGGAACAAATGCACCGCATCCATGCACGTGCGAACCACCGTGACAATGGCGGCTAGGCCACCATCCATGTAGAGACACGGTGACCCGTCTCTTCCTATCGATAACGCGTAGAAAAACAGAGGGTCGACGGCCAGCGCCATGCCGCGGGCCAGCAGCAACGCGCGGTTCCACTTCTGCACGTGCTTGCTTCGCGGGTCCAGCACGCGCCCGAATGGCCCGGAAAGGTACCGGGACGAGGATGACGCCGGGGTTTTCTTCCGGGCCTGGATTGGAACAAGAGAGGAGCCGGCGGAAGCCTCCCATTCGGGCTGGTGAGCACGGTCGCAGCTGGTGGAGTGGAATACCGGTACGCCTACTTGAGTGCAAGCATAGCATTCGACTGAGTATGAAATTGGGTTTTCATCGCTGCCATCGCTCTTGCTGCAGCCATCACCGCGGGACCCGTGAAGCTGCCAGAGTCCAGTCCACCTGTAAATTAAGAAAAACTTCAGATTGCTACTGACGGAACATCTCAAATACCAATTTTAAAACAGAGTATAGAAATTGATTAAACCTTAGAAGGCAGAAGGGGAAGTTTGGTAGAGAAGGCATGCTGGAAATCGAGGAACCATGAGAGAGAGAGAGAAGAGAATCCGATCAGAGGAAGGATTTGGAGGGATTATAAAAGGAAAGAATGTGGGAGTTGGCGAGAAGAAAGATCCAGTCAGAGGAACGTGAAGGGATACTGGTGGACCTCGTGGTGGCCATCCGTGGTGGGGCTGAGCTCCGGTGGAGCCACGTAAAAGTGGGTCCACCACGGTCATCGAGTGTGACATAGAGACCGACACCACTGCCACCGGTTCCAATCACAACAACGGTATATAGCATTTGCAGTGCCCACACTTTCACTGTCACTCCCACTCGTTTTTCACGTCTTTGAGTTCTTGGAATCAAATTGGTGAAAGATTGGTTTAAAGCCAATTGTCATCCCTCTACTTTCATATTTTATTCGTTCTTGTCCCT